ACTGCAATCCAGTGACTCCCGAAGCCAATAACAGCACTGGGAAAGGGCATTTGAAAACCTGGGTGGCCAGTCAGGTGAGGGGCAGCACTGCCTGACACAGCTGTGCTAAGTATGTCCCTCTGGAGCTAAACCTCCAGCGGATCCCACTCATTGCCTTCATCAGGTCTGGCAGCAAGGATGTCACACAGAAGCACAGCAACACACTTGGTTTACTCAAACTAAATCGTTTAGCTTCCCTTCAAGAAATGACTGAAAATGCACCAGTCTGGAAAAATCAAGGCTGGGAGCATTGCTCTGCGTTTTGTATAAATAAAGTGATCCTTTACAAGACATTGTGGTAATGCCCGTGGGTGGGTCTGCTATGGCAGAGATGTGGACTCTCATGAATACAGGTTTTGTTCCTGGAATAGAAAAATTGCAAATAAATGATGCATGTGCATGACTTTCTGTTTGTATTGCACTGAAGGAAGGGGGATGGAAGCAGCAACCTAGATGTACTGAGTTGCCTCAGTAAACCCAGGGCACAATCCACCACATGATTCCATCACACAATTGTGAAAGCTCAGCAACTTGGTTCCTGCTTGCTGCTGCTGTTGGTTGACAATTTTGAGGTGTTTCTATCTGTGCCAGCCATCTCTGCCTCTTTTAGCTTCTGTCCCAGGGTGTAGATCAGACTACGTGTTTACAAAAAGTTCCATCATGATTTCATGACCAGTGGCAGCCTCTCATGTACTGGAAATAATTCTTCAAGTTTGGCCATAAGAAACCTGATACAATGTGCTTGAGAGGAAATGAGACTGTCTGATATGAATGCAGGAAACTCATTTTGTCTGTGCCAGACTCAGCTGCTACAGAAGCATATATTTTTGAGGTAAAAAGATATGAGTTGGAGTCTTAGAAGGCACAGTCACATCCCCAATTTCACTTTCTGCTTTGCTTCCCTCATTCTACTAAGCTGCAGAATGGATTCTGAGTGTTCAAACACATAGGGTGTGAACTGCAGCAGAAATCTTTAAAAATTTCAGTTAACTGGGGTGTGAAAAGACAAGGAAAGTTTTTTGGCAAAATGCACCTCTAAATACTTATTTAAAGCATCAAAGAAACCTGGAAGAAGAAAAAAGATGAAGACAAAGAGCAATAGGAAGAGGAAGAGGACGAGGACGAGGAAGAAGAAGAAGAAGAAGAAGAAGAAGAAGAAGAAGAAGAAGAAGAAGAAGAAGAAGAAGAAGAAGAAAAAGAAGAAGAAGAAGAAGAAAGAGAAGAAGGAAAAGAAAAAAAACAAAACAAAAAGTAATGCCAATTTGTGGGGTTTTGTCTCCAATGCCTCAGCCTCATTTAGCAAGGAATGGATCAAAATTTGCAGAATGGAAGGCTCGGTGTGGAAAATGGACTTTGCACCAAGGCACTGAAGGTGTGTCTTGCCCACTAAGAATGTCCAATCCATGGCAGAGCCTGGAGCCTGGTGGAGGCTGAGGCCAGGACCCAGGAGTTGAGGCCCCTGGGGCTGAGGTGGCAGAGTCTTTGCTGCACCCTGGTGGCTCTGCCTGATTGGTCCTGCAGGGCTGCAGCATGGATGCGGTGGTGGAAATGGGTTTAAGGCAGGAGGTGCAGGACTCCTCTGCATGCTGCACACTCCCTGCTTGGCCTGAGCACAGGAAGATTCAAGTCCTCCTTGCTGGAAAAAGAAACTCTGAAGAAGATTCTGGGTGTCCTCTATGAGACACAGATGAACACAGTGACTTCTCAGGTATGGAGGGCAGGACACACACCACAGCGGGATTCGCATGGCTTCATATCTTGGGGGTTTAAAAGTTAGTCATGAATGATGTGTTGCCTTTCTGAATAAAAAGACTACTTATTTTATGTAACTATAAAGTGAAGCTTGAATGTTCTTCTATATGCATATCCTACATTACATATAAAAGAATACTGTCACCCATTTCCACTTACCTATTCAAGAAAATACCAACTATTTATTCTTAAGTGAATTGAACAGAAGTAATACTGAATGGAGCACTATAAATAATGCAGTGAAAAATAAAATGGAAAAACCCCAAAGGCATCCCTCCCAAGATGACAGGTCTGCCATTGACCAGATCCTTTCTCCTGTCCTCACCTGCTGTGCAGGCCTGTGTCTCTTCACTGCTGGGTGGAGAGAGAGCCAGGACACAAGTTCTCTTCCATCTCAAGAAAGATCAGGGACATGACCTTCTTTCAGCATTTTCAGTGGCTGTAATTTATAATTAACTCAGCAGCTGTGCTGTGGAACATTCATTGTTTCTAACAGTCCACTCCTTAACTGATTAAGAAGAGAATAAGGTGTCTGTCAATGTCATTTTTATAATGACCCCTAGAAGTGAAATTTCCAGGTTAAATGTATATAAATGAGCTTGAGGGTCGCAGATTTTACACTTGAAGCCTCAGCATAAAGATAGAGCCTGGTAGAGGAAGACTGAGTCTGCTCAGATCTATGTGGAGATCTAAAGTCAGAGAGATGGTCCAGGCAGAGGTGCAGGACACAATGGCACCTAGCAGGAACCATGGCTAAAAAAGGCCCAGGTGCAGGCCACCTCATCCTTGAGTAAGTTCTCAGGAAAGCATCACACACTGCACGTTGGACAGGAGAGAGCTGGAATGGTTCCAGAGCTCCTCCCTACATGCCTGAGGCCCCCTCTCTCACTCAGGGGAGCTCTGTATGAGAAGGTCAGTCTGTTACAGAGCCCAACCTGACTGAATGTTTTCCACCCAGATGCAGATCTGAACTGCCACATGTGGACTCACCATAGCTATGGAGCAGGACAGGTGTTTACAGGGAGCAGGTCAGGAGATGGGGACACTGCAGGCAGGTCAGGGTATGAAGACTTAAATAAGAGACCAGGCCCTCACCAGGCCCAGTTTCCTCCAGCAGTAACCACATCCTGCAAGAATGTGTATTAAATCTGAGTAACTGAAAGGAGTTACTCACAAAATTATATATTATAGTGATAGCTTGAAGATACAAAAGTAAATGGTAGCATCCGTAAGTAAAATGAGATGTGACCCTTAATGGATATGTGGTGTCCATTGATGTCCCCAAACCACATGCATCAGAAGGAAATAGCCTGATGAAGAGAGAAATAAGGAGCACAGACAATGTGTAAAAATCACAGCTACTTAATAACAACAACAAAGCTGGTATACAATAAGTGCACCGGTGAAATTTATCCAGTATTTAATAAAGAATAAATACTGATTGTTTTTCAATTCTTCAATCAAGTTGAAGGAAAAACCACCACCAACATCTTTTATGTGACAAAATAATTCTGAGAATGAAGCCAGAGAATAATGTGTTAAAAATAATATAAATGAAAACACTCTGTTGGCTAATATTCCTACCAAACATACAGAAACGTGTTCAGCTTAATGTTTGCCACGTTAACTAACCAGCATATTCAAAATTAACTAACATGATCAATACTGGGCTAATCTCAGTGGTGCAAGTATGATCCCTCTCTCACAAACTATCTGTTTCCACTGGTTTTAACATGTTGTATCTTACTATATTTTACTATATGTGATAGTATAAAGAAAAATTTTTAGAGGCAAGGAGATAATATAGAAACCATTTTTTGTTTTCTGTTAACTGGTTCTAAATACCCTGTAATTCTTTCATTCTCTTGAATGGCTTCACACTGTCTTGATAGCTTGATGCTATAGTATACAAACTTATACTCAAATAATTCAAGGAATGAGGCACTATTTTGACTACTATTATGTTAGATTATCTGGGAGTGAAATACAATGATGCTTAAATTGTTCCATTTTGACAAATGTTGTTGTATTACAATGTCCTCTTTTATCTCAATCTCCATCCTTTTTTTAAAAATTAAACTATTTTTCGTTTTTTTCAATTAAGGGAAAACTAAATTAAAAAATATTGGGATATATTATAGTAACTATTTGTTTTCCTATTAACCTGATTTGAACCCCAGTATTGCTCTCCCCATCTTGTTCTCTGTGATTTTACTATATTCTTTTTGTTTGATAGTATCAAGTTTGAGGGTATAGGCAACCGCTTTGAAGGAAATAAGATTTACTATGATACCCATTATAGTTTGACTATTATCTTCTTTTGAAATCTTGTAAGGTCTCCAGTCTAGGTTTTATTGGTCTTGTTCTGTACTGTTTTGATCAATTCTATTATACCTGGTGATATAGGAAACTCTTTTTAAAAATAGCAAGAGGCACAATGGTAACCATTTGTGATCATCTGATACTCTATTTTTGCATCATGTCCTATGCCCACCCTTCTGTTCTAACCAACTCTGTTTTATTTAGTCATGTTAGGATTTATTCTCTTCAAAAAAATGTAATAAGAACTGTGGGAGTAAAAAAAACTCAAAAAGTGTAATTGTTATTGTAAAAAAGAGAGAAAAGGAAGGTGGTCTAAGGGATATAACTGCATGCTTGAGTGTGTAGGATGGAAAACCATATTACTGAGCTTTTGTTGGATCATTGAACAGAACTTTCTGCAATCTCACTGTATGAATGTCCACTTTATATGCTTTAATTTTATAATTTGGACAACTGTTTCTAAGGTGACAAGATGTAACCTATGAACCAGTGATTTCTTACTGAATTTTTTCTTGAAATTCTGTATTACTTGTACCCTTTTACTGCTTTGTTTTTTATTTCCTATCTTTGTTCTCTTTAATTAAAAAATAATCAAACCTGGAATGGATATCTTTTATTTATTTATTTATTTATTTATTTATTTATTTATTGGGCACTGGATATCCAGCTCATGACCTCACACATGCCAGGCAGGTGCTTAAGCCACTGAGTTAAATCCCTAGCCCACCAATGGATATATTTTACATCTTGTCATCTTCTGAGAAGTTGCCTCTTCTCTTGAACTTGATACTAGCAAGCATACCCACAGTGAATAAAATCAGTCAAGGACAAATAACATTCAAACAAACCAGCTTCAAAGAAGATCAGTCATAGAAGACAATGTAAGTAATATAGGGTTTCAGTTTTAGTTAATAGGAAATTAAGGATAGTTACCATGGTATAACCTGCTATTTTTGGGTTATCTCTGTGTGCCCTCAAATCTAATATGAGTAGACAGACAAGAACAAAATATAACCAAACTAAATAGAGCAACAAGACTACTGTAGATTTTAAATCCTGATACACTTTTAACAATGTCCTCTGCCTTCTATTTTTAGGCAATTCCTCACCTTTCTCCTTCTCAGGATACTATTATTCACTGTTCAGAGTGATATTAGTCTAGTCTCTTATGTTACACTGCATTTTAAAAGCTTTCCCACATTATTTACATGCGTAAGAGTTTGTCTCCATTGTGAATTCTTTCATGTTTCTTACAACATCCCCATGTGCTAAAAGCTTTCCCACATTGCTTACATACATAGGGTTTCTCTCCAGTGTGAATTCTTTCATGTTTCTTACAATTTCCCCATGTGCTAAAAGCTTTCCCACATTGCTTACATACATATGGTTTCTCTCCAGTGTGAATTCTTTCATGTTTCTTACAATATCCATGTTTGGTAAAAGCTTTCCCACATTGCTTACATACATATGGTTTCTCTCCAGTGTGAATGCGTTCATGTTGCTTACAATGTCCAGAACTAGTGAATCCTTTTCCACATTGCTGACATACATATGGTTTCTCTCCAGTGTGAATTCTTTCATGACCCTTACAGTTTGCACATGTGTTAAAAGCTTTGCCACATTGCTTACAAACATATGGTTTCTCTCCAGTGTGAATTCTTTCATGTCTCTTACAAACTCCCCGTCTGTTAAAAGCTTTCCCACATTCCTTACAAACATATGGTTTCTCTCCAGTGTGAATTCTTTCATGACCCTTACAGTTTGCACGTGTGTTAAAAGCTTTCCCACATTGCTTACATACATATGGTTTCTCTCCAGTGTGAATTCTTTCATGTCTCTTACAAACTCCCCGTCTGTTAAAAGCTTTCCCACATTCCTTACAAACATATGGTTTCTCTCCAGTGTGAATTCTTTCATGACCCTTACAGTTTGCACGTGTGTTAAAAGCTTTCCCACATTGCTTACATACATATGGTTTCTCTCCAGTGTGAATTCTTTCATGTTTCTTACAGTCTCCCCATGTGTTAAAAGCTTTCCCACATTGCTTACATACATATGGTTTCTCTCCAGTGTGAATTCTTTCATGTCTCTTACAAACTCCCCGTCTGTTAAAAGCTTTCCCACACTGCTTACATACATATGGTTTCTCTCCAGTGTGAATTCTTTCATGTCTCTTACAGTCTCCCCATGTGTTAAAAGCTTTCCCACATTGCTTACAAACATATGGTTTCTCTCCAGTGTGAATTCTTTCATGTTTCTTACAATATCCATGTGTGGTAAAAGGTTTCCCACATTGCTTACATACATATGGTTTCTCTCCCGTGTGAATTCTTTCATGTTCCTTACAACGTCCAAGTTGGGTGAAACCTTTTCCACATTGCTTACACACATAGGGTTTCTCTCCATTGTGAACATTTTCATGTATTTGAAAATGAATTTTACTGCTAAAAGCTTTCCTACATTTCTTACATATATGCGATTTCTGCCCAGTGTGAAGTTTTTCATGGATTACACAATAAGTGTGTGTGCTGAAAGCTTTCTCACAGTGCTCACATTCATAACGTTTTTCTCCAGAGTGAAGTCTTTCATGTACTTGACAATATGTACGTGTTGTAAAAGCTTTCCCACATTGATTACATATGTAGGGTCTTTCTCCTCTGTGAATTCTTTCATGTTTCTTACAAATTCCAAGTGTGGTTAAACCTTTCCCGCATTGCTTGCATACATAGGGTTTCCCTCCACTGCAATATTTTTCATGGATCTGAACATTGTCATGTGTTTCTGTTTCTTTCGCATTCACATTACCTTCTTCAGTACCAAGGAAGACTTTTTTACACTGATTCCATACATCTCCAGATGTATGTCCATAGGATTTCCCTAGCTTGTCATTTCTGTAAAGAAAAAAATCACATATAAGATTTATAACCATATTACTAAGTTTTTGCAGTCTCGCTGTTTGAATCCCCACTTCATATGTTTCACTTTTGTATTTCATATCTATTTCCATGAGCAGCATATGTAATCATCATCTTGCGATTTCTTACTGTTTACTTTCACTTTGAAATTAGCATTATCTCTACTTATTTTGTTTTGTTTAATCTTTCCTTATATAAATTTAAAAAAGAAAAATTCACAGTGAAATGGGTCTCTGTTTAATGACTGCATTAATGTCAAGTTCTGTTTTTAATGCCTGCTAAGAAATTCTGACCATGAAGCAACAGAATGGCCTTGTAAGATATGTTGAAAACAACCATTCCCAAAAGACTGGCATACATTTAGAAATCTTAAAATTTGGTACTTTGAAATGCAGAATCTTTAGCTTCACTTTGGGCATGGGCACATATGTGTATCACATACAGATTATTCTGATATGTTTCCCCATTCCAATCTCCCTTCTGTCCTTAACCTGTAGTTCCCTTTTCCATATTGTCAGTCTTACTTTTCTCTATCAACTTTCTTTCATTACATTCCACAATTTATATTTTGGTGTCTCATCTAAAAGAAACCCTGTGACCTTTTATGTTTAATAGCTGAGCTATTTCACTGAATTGATGGGTGAAAGACCCATCTATTTCTTATGGCAAATGACATTATATTATTTATTTTTTGACATTATATAACACATATTTTCTTTTCTGGGCTGGGAATGAACAACAGGTATTAGCATAAAATCTGTAGCTTTTTAAAAATCTATTTTAAGAGATTTTCGCTGATCATTAAGCTGTGAAGTTTGAACTTGAAATTGCCATTCTGCAAAATCTGATTCCTAGTGTGCTGGGTTTACAAGGATGCACAACCACAGAGAGTCTATTAATATTTTCCTTCTCCACAAATCCAGTGATAGATAGATAAGCTTCAAGGCCTGATCTGTTATAACTTAATCTGCTTTGTATATGAGTAAGCATGTATCAGTATTTTATGCAGATTTGAGATTTTAAAAATATCCAGGACAAGTGTGATGGGATCAATTTCTAGAGACAACTGCATACTGATATTCAAAATGAGTGCAATAACATTCCACCAGCCTACTAAGAATATTAATCAGAATGGCTGATTCTCTAGAGAATGTCTTGGAAACATGAGCACTCAGTTTTATTTCAAATTCTATTGCAATCTTAGCAATTGTTAGATAATTAATGTGTTATATTCACATGTAGACATTGGTAGAAAAACTGAAGGCAACTCAAAGTGTATCCTTTTTGTATTCATCTATATGCAATGTCATACATTTTCATGATTTAATTCGCTCATATATACACTAGCTTATACATCTTCAGAAAATATTACTGACATTAAATTGAATGGTGTCTCTTTCTTTGGTTGTCATTTTTCTGCTACTCACTAATTACTGAGGAACATTCCTCTCCTTGTGAGTGCGAATTATCTTAAGTAGCTCCAGTAAATTTTGCCTTCTTTTTCAGCTTCCTGGATATCCCAGAGTCCTCCTGAATTGTAGACATAGAAATACCAGGACTCTTTAGAGTAATACATACAAATTAATAGGTTTTGTTTAGAGTTATGATATAATGTGTCCAGGTCTGAGATATTTTAAAAAATATTTTCATATTCTTTTTCATGAAACAGCACTAATAAGCAAGAAACAATGTTCTGACAGCATGAGGGGCAAAAAGATTTTATCCTTACCTATCAGAGTCATGTTCCTAAAGGTTTCGCCCATCACATCTCTGTAGAGCTTCTTTTGGGATGGACTCAGCAAAGTCCACTCCTCATTGCTGAAGTTCACGACCACATCCTCAAAGGTCACCACCTCCTAAAGGATCATACATATATTTCTCAATGGAAGGTTGAGACCCCAGGTTTGGGATATCTTAAATTTTCTCCTAGAAATCTGAATCAAAAGCAAAGTGTGGTGGTGCATATCTATAATCCCAGCACTCAAAAGGCTGAGACAGGATGGCATCAGTGTGGTCAGGGCAATTCTAGGCTCCATAGGGTGTTCAAATCCACCTGATATACATACAGAAAGCTTGTCTCAATAAAACAAAACTAAACTAAACAAATACTACCAAACAAAACAGCTGAATGAAGACTGATTTCTTCCAATTTTAATCCATGTCTTGGTCATTAATTTTGTGTATATACACATTTTTGAAGACAGCAAATTTGATGCTAGATTGCAACTCACTGCTAATGTAACAGCCAAATAGGAGCACTGATTCTTGTGCTGAATCTTGGCAAGATTTCCCTTGCACTGTCTCTAAAGCAGAGCTCACAGTGAGAAGCCTGCAGGACCAGCAACCACAAAGCACAGAGGCAGATAAATATCCCATCAATTGACTGGAAAGTCAAGCAAGCACCTCCCCTCCCCGGTCAGCAGTGGTGGTTTGGCAAATTTCAGCCCTTCCAGGGGGAAAACCAGCAGCAGCTCCTGAGATCCATGCCAACCTGGAATTTAGGACACTGGGAAGCCAGTCAAGCACCACTTCTCCCTGGTAAGTGGTGGCAGTCTGTCAGACTGCAGCCCTTCCAGGGGGAGAACCAGCAGCAGATCCTGAGATCCATGCTATGTTGAAACTTAGGATGCTGTGAAACCAAACAAGAGCCTGTCTCCCTAGTAAGCAATAGTGACATACTGATGCACCACCTAGAATCAAACATCCCACTTCCCTACCCCTCTTCTCCTGTCACCCCCCACCATTAACAAATGGGAACCAGAATTCTGAGCATCTCCTGGGAAGTTGACCATAGCAAATAAGGGGACTTCCTTCTACTATTACTTTTAAGGAAAATGTTTTTATTATTGTTTCAGTCTATTCTGATTAATGGTACTGCTCTATTCAATATTCTGTTTTGATAAGTTCTATAATGTTCTGTATTTCATCTCATTTTAATATATGTGATTAAAGAAAAACTATTACAAAGATAAAAAATATACTGTGATACCTATTACTGTTATCCCAGTAACCTGTTGTGAAGTTGTGTACCAATTTCACTGTGTGATCTTAGTTGGCCTTATGCTGCCTTGCTCTGTTGTATTTTACCAATTTCAAAATTAAATAAAAAATCTCATCAATCACTTTGATAGACTACAGATGATGTCTCTTCAAATCTCATTTAGGCCAATGAGTACTTTGTTCTTAATATACTTAAGCAGCATTTTGAAAAATTAATTTGGTTTCATAGAACAAAACATAAATAACATCAAATATGGTACATAAATAATAATAACAAGTGTTATAGTGGAAAACAGCTGTATTTTTAAAAATACGTATATAAAAATAAACCAGGCCCAAGCTGTAAATTATACCTCACTGTCACCAAGTGATCACTTTCAATTCAAATATAAGAAATATATCCTGGGAGGCTGGTGAAGGAGTTCTTCCTTGAATTTGGGGCTATCCTAAGTTACAGAGCCATCTAAAATAGACAATCTCTGACTGAGATACCGAACAAACAAAGTGAAACTTAAAAAGAGACTGCATAAAACATCTTTGGTTTGTTTTAAAACATTATAGGCGTACAATACAGAAAAATTCAACAATACTCAACACTTTCTGAGAAACAATATGGATATCTTCCATACTACACAGAAAACACTTTCATAGTTGGGTATTTAATTCTGTAGCATGAATGCCTGCCAGGAAAGCATAGGTCATGAGTTTGATCCTTGGCACAAAAAAAATTCAAATTTCACTTTCATGACACTGGGGCATAATTAGAGATAATCAAAATTAGATCTCAAGTACAGAACACAAAAATAATGGGTTGACAGGGATGTGGAATACTGATTGTTGCCAGAGCTGGTGTTGATCACCTCAATGAAGCAATCAGAACCCAACTTTACTTCACACTTACTCTAAGAACTACCTGACTTTCAGTGAAGACCCTCTCTGTTGTATGTCCTGCTATTTTCTTCCTGCATCCTCTCAGTCACTTCCACATCCTTTCCATACTCCTCTAATCCATCCTAAGCAGAAAATCCTTCATGGCTAACAAAATTTCTATTTAGGGCTTCTCCTTTACACCACTTAGATAGGTCCATTGTAGAGAATTTCCATATTTAAACACTCTATGAACAACCAAGCTACTAAATCAGCTCTTAATTCAGAGATGACACCTCTTTCCATTCAGAAGGATATCACATGTATATGTCCATGCAAATGCCTAAATTTTGGCATTTTTCGATGAGAATTTAACAGGTAGAACTTTCTGGAATTTGTCCTTCACAAATATTTACCCTGTCCTAGATAACACTTTCATATTTGCTTCATTTTTCTCAGACTTCAAAACTCTACAAACCTAGACTGTGAGCGGGAGTGCCACCTAAATTATTAAGTATGTTCAGAAATTGTTTTGCACTGATCTGTATAATACACAGGAGTTCACCAGGTGTTTGGGAAGCCTCTCTCCACTGAGGCACACTACTACAAATCCCTGAATTCTCAGGACCTTTGCCACTACCTGTCCTGAGGATGGAAATATGAGAACATACTGTAATTTAAGGAGATCACTATAAATACAAAAAAGCCAAGGTTAAGTTGAGCCATTGTGGCTATGAGGCCCTGCATTACATACATTAATAAACTCCAGACATTCCAGATCTGCTACTCTGAGGAAAAAGAGCAGAGACCTAGCTCATTACTGCTCTACAAGCTACAAATCATCATATTCAGGGTCTTCCCAAGTTCCTTCCAATGCCTAAGATGCTGGAGTTACCAGGCTAGGAATGAATTTCAAAGATGATACTTGAGTCTGCTGCTGTCATAGTGAAGCCAGGGTTCTGAGGACACCCAAATCATCCTTGCCAACAGCAAGAGGCAAAAGGGACAGAGAATGACCCATGGGCAATGCTGGAGGACCTCAGGAGCTGAAGCTAACTAAATACCTGGGGCTCCAGATACCGGAACTACTCCTAAATACTTGTAA